AAATGTCTCAGTACAGGAAAAACAGGAAACGTGCTACTTAACAGATGACTTAGTGGCTAGCGCAAAGTTTTCATGAAATTTCAAGAAATTTCATCAAAAGCATCAAGACAATTCTGACACTTTGTCAGACAATAGGAAACAAGTGTCAAGATAAGTATTTTCACAACTATTTGTGAACATATTAGGATTTCTGGAGTCACCTTGCCAGGCATCTAAGGCACATCTAACACCATAAATTAACAATTGCAAACAAAGGTACATTTGACACCATTATGGTGTCCATATCAACAAAAGTGTACCTTTTTATATTTTGGAAATCATTATTACGCCCCTGCCATTGGTGAATGAACAGGAATCCTAAACAGTGATTAAAACATTGCCGGTACAACTCGGGACTCGCCCAAGTCGGACTAGATCGGGAGCCAGGCGATTCCAGGTCAAAGAATCCCGAAATCGCCCAAATAGCCCATGTTTAGATATTTTTTAATTTTCTTTCATAAATCCTCCCCAGTGGGACTCGAACAAGCCCGAGGCAGAACGGGTGACTTGAGCTCGAGACCCTGGCAAGCCTGAACCCCAAGTCCACTTTTTTAAACACCAATATCAACATAACACAAGCTCAATAGGAAGCCAGAATAGTTGAAGCCTTTATTATGTTGTACAGCAAGGATTGGGACAATTTTCAAGCTATTTTTTATTTCAAATTAACAAGCAAGATATGAGGATCCAAAACTTATCATTATCTCCTCTTCCTAGTAATCATTGACCTCTTTTACAGCTACATCAACTACAATAATATCAGAGAAGATTATGTTTCGAAGTTTAAATATATGAAATCAGGTTCCATGTTAATAGGAACAAGGATGACTGGAGTGACTAAACTAGATCATAATTGATATCATCTGATCATTCAACATTATCCTGTTGAGATCATTTTCTGCAATTAGCAGGGAATATCATGCAAAACCCAGACAATTGAGTATTTCCCAAACTTATTATGCACATTAACATTTGCAATTGCTGGGTTTGAAGTAATCATACAGCATTACATCTGTACAAGAATTTATTGATATTTCTTTAGTAAATTTATACATTCAAAGGGAAACAAAGAAAGAAAAAGAGAAGGAACAACTATAAACAAACCGTAGAGAATTCAGATCACGATGAATGTGAGCTTCATCAGATGTAATTTGAGACTTGAGAGCCATGAGAATGGCTTGCTGCTTTGCATTCTCAACTTGGGATTCCACCCATTGTCTCTCACTTGTTCCAAATCTGCAGACATATGCCACAACCAAGTGATGGCACCTCATGAATGTTGAAAAATTCATCCTAAATCATTAGGCATTAGACATACATATGCATTACACCAGCATGCATATCAGTTCATACGGAATAACCAACAAGCCAATGACATTACTCTATTAAGCCATGGATCTTACAATTATATGATCTGACTTCTTTTGGAACACATAACATAAAATTTACATCATACAAACATTATATCAATGGAGCAACAATTAGAAGTCTAGATGAAGCATTTGACAACCACAAAATAATCATCTCACCATTTGGTCACATGTTTTCCAAACCAGTGTTTTAAAATCGCCAGGTCAAATTGGAATGACCTGAGCCTACCTGGGAATCGTTGGGGACTATCCTGGTTCCCTCAAATATATTGGGAACCATGAGGTTTCAAAAAGAACCAGACGGTTCTCTGACAGAAATGGCTAATTTTGTCAAGAAACAGGACGATCCAGCTGGCCAAATTGCCTCATTCCCACTTTTTTAATATTTTACTTCTTTTTAAAATTTTATACTTTACTGTTTTCCCATCTTTTAATAAAAATGGTCCCACCCACAGCCTATTAAACTGGGCAATCACTGACGAAGTTAAGTTCATCTTGCCCTTGACTTGCCTCCTTTTATATGCCCCAATCTCCCAAACTCTGTCCTAATTCCCTGATGCGGATTTTTCCTTTTGTTTTATAAGAGAATAATATGCAAGAACGACTGTCCATCATCATGTTTTAAGCTCATCTTTATTACAACTTGATGATTTTAAAATGTATCCTCTTCTTTTATAATCTTCATTTTTTCTTGTTGATTTTGTAAGAGAAATAATGTGCAAGAACAACTATCCATCATCATGTTTTAAGCTCATCTTTATTACTACTTGATGATTTTAAAATGTAGTCTCTTCTTTTATAATCTTCATTCTTTCTTGTTGATTTTGTACATTATTTCTTGCCGATGAGTACGTGACCTATAATAATTAGAATCCAAATGACTTAAAATACTATTGAATTTGTCATGGCCAGGAAATCGACAGTAGATTTTATAGATGGCATGTGTTGAGGAAGCAAAAAGATTGATTTACATCCATTGGCAAATAACATACTTAGGGACATTTTCTATTTGATAATCTGGGATCCATATTAAAATCATGTATGTACTGCCATAAAAGAAGAGCATTTTGATTATAAAATTTCTTAAAACATGATGATCGATTGTTGATGCTTTTTATAATCTTTATTTGAAAAACATGATGATTCATCGACTTTAAAAATCATCACGTTTTAATTTTTAAGTTCATCTTTAGTACTAAAATCATCCTTAGGACAACCACCAACGTCAAAGTGGCCTTGAACAAAATAAAAAAGTGCCCCATTGTCTGATGTGAAATATTTTAAATAGAACTTTTACATTTGAGATATGCAATTCATATTGGTAGGTATGCATCCAAAACCAAAACAAAATAGAAAAAAAAACATAATAACAATAATACATTAACTCACCGAATATAAAACCCTTCTTTGAAGATTTGTGTAACATATACTATATAGATTTATAATTGTCATTAATAATAACACTATAGCTTACTAGCATCTAAATAAAAGCTTGATAATGCAGTGCAACTACCATAATTATAATTGACACTAGAATAACACAATAGGTTACCCCACCCTCAATACCAGTGCTACTTACCTATTCCTTCGATTCTCACTGGCCGAAGTCGTGCATAATCCTATGGAAAGCTTCCTTAGCAGCAACTTTATGGGTCCTTTGGCTTGAAAGAAATTCCAGGATTTTCTGTGGAATTAAAAGTGAAGTCCCAGCTCTATTTCATAAGTTACTCGTTGGTAATCTTTTAGGCTTCCAACCACAGGGATTTCGTTGGAGTCTCGGCTGCTACCTTCCTTCACGACTCGGAGAATCTCACATACCTTATACCACCTCGGGTATTAAGAGCCAATAATTGGTTGCCTCCCCCGGTTGGTATCGTCAGCTCAATTTCGACGGATGCTCCCTTGGTAACCCAGGCCCAGCTGGAGCCAGTGGGGTCTTTCACAACCATAATGGCAATATTTTGGCCTCTTACTAAGATCACCTAGGCCACACAGACTCTCAGTTTGCAGAGGCTACGGCCCTTTTGTTGGGCATTAAGAAGTTCAACCTAACCTTGGGTTCGTAGTTGTATGTCGAGGGGGACGCCAAAAACATTATTTCTTGGGCCTCTGGAAAGGCCACTCCTCCTTGGTACCTTGCCCATATTTTTGACGAAATTGAGCATATTTGCAGGGTTATAGATGTCTCCTGGACGCATATCTAGAGGACGTCAAACAACTTCACAAATCTTCTGGCCAAGGACGTCGCTCGGGCCCAAGCTGAAGCCCCCGTATAGATGCGACTTTTTGTTGAGCTACTTAGACTATGGTTTGGTCGCTAGTCCATCTCCTTTTTTGCTCTGGACCTTTGCTCTTCATTCCTTTTGCACAATTTATCTCTTGTAATTGGGCGTTTCCTATAAGCCATCCTTTTTGCACAGTTTATCTCTTCTATTTGGGGGTATCTTATTAGCCCTTCATTTTTTGTACAGGTCCACTACTAGGTGGACATTTTTTGGTTGAGAGACCTAGTCAGTGGGTACTCTCGACTCTTACTGATGTACACTTCTTCTTTTAGCCATACAACCTGTTAACTTCCTCAAAAAAAAAACTATCATAATTATAATTAATGAAACTATAGTTACTATTGTTGTAGTAAATGATTTATTACATTGATTTAATCATGGAAACCTTATATTAAAAGTATTTTTCATTTTGATTTCACAAAATTTTTGGTCAGCCAAATGAGCATGATGTGCGTATGAGGGGACTCTAAATATTGTCCATGTACAATCTGCTTATTGTTTCTTTCTAATATAGTAGATTCATTCCGTTGTTGTAGTCATGGAGCTCACCATATGTGAGTGTCATTTAGTGAAATGACTCGAATTTCAAATCACTATATTGGTACATGATAACAATATAATTTATTGATAATTGGATGCTCTTATAAATCCATTTTATTGCGATGAGTTGCGTTTTAAACTTCAGTTTGACTGTGAAATGAATGTAATGGGCAACAAATTCTCAGACATGAAAGATGTTCTCAATATTTACTGTTTTTGTCAAATAATGAAAATCCATAATGCAACACGGCCATTTTTTTTTGGAAACCTAAAAAACTAAATTTCAAAGAAATTTAAGCAATTTTTTTAAAACCTTTTAAGGTCAAATCGGCCCGAACTGCCCAATCCACCAACCGAGATCGCCAATTCGCTGATCTGGGCCGGATGACCGATTCACCCGGCCGATCCAGGTTTCAAACATTGTTCCAAACGATTGTATTGAACCTGTTTGAGTCACTACAAGCCCATCCTATAATTTAGCAACTATCAAGCACAAAATGAACCTAAAATTCCCATCTACTAAATGCTGTACATAATTCAGATATCATCCATCTTACAGTGTAATATTTATTAGAAAACTGTGATAAGAGATTCCAAATACAGCCCTTTGCATGTGCTAAAGTTCCATTTCATAACGTTCAGAAGTCAGTCAAAAAAATGTTGCGGTAACACATTCTTCTATACAAATGAAAAATACATCTGCAAATGCGGAAAAGGAAGAAGGTTTTTGTAGTATCAAAAAGGGTAAACATGTTGAGTAATTCATTTCTTGCTACATTTCTTTTGAGCGACTCAACAAACCAATCTACAATTCTCTTAAAATGATTGACACAAACACTTCACATCTTGTACAAGGGTTCACACGGTTCCCAAATTATCAATTACAAAAAGGATATTCTACCAAAACAAAACGAACTCCCCAAGACATTTCCTCCAGCATAACAGAGACCCCAAATTTTAACTAGTTTCATACATCTCCATGAAGATATCCATGAAGATATCCATGAACACCAAAACAGTATACGGACCACAACAAGACCTGCTCCACATCATTTAGCAATACCTTCAGAATCACCCAAGGCCATGCCATGTCTTGCTGGAAACCTGATGTGCATCACTTTGTTACAGCTATTAATATCTGAGCCTCAAAAGGCCATGGGGCATATCCCTGACACTGGAAGAAGCTAAACTGACTTGGTAGCTTATTCAGAAACTTTGGAATATGGCGACAGGATCATTTCAATCAAACATGCCATATCCAATGAAAGGGATATTTATTTCCCCAAATTTGATGAGCACAAAACTACAAAAGCAGGTGTGCCTTATAGGATACTCAAATTTTTACTGTGGATGAATGGATAAACAAGCCAAACTGACAACCAGAAGCTATCTAAAATTCAGGAATGCCCCTCCTGATTTGAATTTAAACAAACATCCTCTCCAGAAAGAAGTAAACAGCTGAATTCTTATGAAAGTAGAAATTATAATAACTAATAGATTGTTATACAGCATCTCATAAGCAAATTCCAGACCACATGCCAGAGATATTACCTCAAACCCATTATGTCTGCACCAATGGTTTAAAAATCGGATCGGTGACCAGGATCGGGCACCCAAAAAACCGATCCGAATCGGCGAATCGACGATCCGGATCGAGAATCAGGTGAATCAGTCAGAATAAAGCTTAAAAAAAATCCGAAAATATTATTAAAATTCATTATAAATATTGTTTTTTAGAAATTCAAGAAAAAATGTGGGTACTCCATTACGAATTTTCATGTTTTTGAATGAATATGCGAATATTGATATGTTCTTTCCCTGCATGAACCGCCATTCAGCATTTAATTTACATCACACAAAAGGATAAACATAGAATTATCATGGAATAAGTATATCAACATACATGGACTACAATAAAGCATAAAATTAGTAACATATGATCTAAAAATAAAATGATAGACGATGTTATTGTTCTTCTTGGTCACGCTAGTGCCATTGATTGAATTCGTTTAACAATTCATTGATTCGATCTAAAAACGAATCATCGATATTAGCAGGCGTCTGACTATTCCCAAATCCCTGAGTGTTAGTGTTTTATTGTGTTCCCAATCCAATATCCCCGAAGCTTGTCCATCCTTCATGCTCACCTGCACTGTCGTGCTTATCCCTACACTGTTGCTGTTGGGACTCGATATGTGAATAATATGGCTGGGATAGGGTGGCCTCAAAATCATCATCTCTCTCATTTTCTCTTTGAATAATATGGATTAAAAAAAAAATTAATAAATTTTCAAAAAAATCGATCATGGATTAAAAAAAGAAAATCACAAATTTTCAAAAAATTCTATCATGGATTACAAAAAAAAATTCGATCATGGATTAAAAAAAAAAATCACAAATTTTCAAAAAATTCTATCATGGATTACAAAAAAATATTCGATCATGGATTAAAAAAAAAAAATCACAAATTTTTAAAAAATTCAATCATGGATTACAAAAAATTCGATCATGGATTACAAAAAATTCGATCATGGATTACATAAAATTCGATCATGGATTACAAAAAAAAAAAAACATAAAAAAACAAAAAATTCCCTTGTGGATTACAAAAAAAGAAAAAAACAATTCGATCATGGATTACAAAAAATTCAATCATGGATTACAAAAAACTCTATCATGGGTTACAAAAAAAAGCAAAAAACAAAAAATTCGATCATGGATTACAAAAAAAAAAACAAACATTTCGATCATGGATTACAAAACATTCGATCATGGATTACAAAAAATTCTATCATGGGTTACAAAAAAAAAAAAAACAAAACAAAAAATTCGATCATGGATTACAAGAAAAAAAAGAAACATTTCGATCATGGATTACAAAAAATTCGATCATGGATTACAAATATTCTATCATGGGTTACAAAAAAGAAAAAAACAAAAATTCTATCATGGATTACAAAAAAAAAAAAACAATTTGATCATGGATTACAAAAAAATCGATCAAGTATTACAAAAAATCTATCATGGATTACAAAAAAAAAAAACTAATTAATTAATTAATTAATTTGTTACGTACTGGACTCGCCGATTCACTGTACGGACTCGCTGATTTCGTACGGTGAATTGGCTAGTCACTGTGCAGAATCGTCCGGTTCTCTCTAGAACCGGACGATTCCCGTTTTTTCACTGATTCGAACAGTCCATGGCGATTCCCGAGTCGAACCGGGCAAGTCCGGTTCGACTCGGCGTTTTTTTAAACACTGGTCTGCACCATGCTAAAGGAATCATAAGTCTTGACGGCTAAAACCAACATAAGTTAGGAGCAAGGACCCCAGTTGATAATTTTCAAGGTGAGGGGGTGATATAAAAGATTTACCACGATAGAAAATCTACTGGTCGTAATATGTGTGCATTTAAAGTTACATAAACTCCCTAGGAGGAAGAAAAGGAAACTGGTTTGCCCCAGTATATAAAGGAAAACCACAAAATTTAGCTGAGACTAAGTATATCACAGCAAACTACTTTTTGCGTTCCAATCAATCTTGTAGAACACAAGCATTACTTATATGTGCGTTCCTGCAGGTTTTCATGATTGATATAACCTTGTATATAATGGCCATCATGTTATGTTGGACTTGCTCCCAATATGTGACGCAAGACATTTCTCAATATTCCCATGTAATATTCATCTAGCCCATCTCAGGATCAGCCATGTCATTTTATTTCATGCTTCACACTTTAAAACCCCCATAAAAATACATTATCCAAAGCTGCCAATTGCCCACCCCAAAAAAACAAACAATAGTTGATTTTAATACAGTTAAGAATTCCATATTTTGTTTTCAAACTCCAAGATAAGGTGTTCTCAAAAAAGAATTTCCAGTTAAGGCACATGAATGATCAATTAAAAACAAATATATCTCAAAAGTTGGCATTTCATTCATTCTCATGGCTACTTTAGGGAGTACCAACTCATCCCAAACAATGCCCCCGTGAAGCTCCACAGCAGTAGACTCTTGATTTTGGTGCAAAAAAAAGGTATCCGACTTCTATCAATCTAAGTATTGAACTAAATTCATGTACTGCGGAGGTAGCTTATGCAGAACAGAAAATAAACAATGGACAGTATAAAGACCTTATGCTTATTGAAATTCACTCTACATGAAAGAGAAGTGTTCAATATGAATTACTTACACTGAGCGAAGCCTTTGCAGCTCAGCAACACGGTGACGATAAGTTTTTTCTGAGTCTCCTAGAATTGTAAAAAGATTTCTCTATATAGTTATGATGGCCATGTAATCAATAAACTTTAGTACAAAACATTTCATAGAATGAGACAAAGCAAGCCCAAACTGCATGATCAAGTAATGATTAAAGTGCCCAACCCAGCGACTGAGCATGATGGCTACATCATTAATGTAACTACTCAAGAAATGATTATACATCAAAAAAAAAAAAAACGTTTACTCAATAAATGATTCCAAATAGCTGGACTTCATCAAAATTTTAAAAGCATGAAGAATGTTTTAACAGATAAACTACTTAAAATTGGTAAAATATTGAGGGAGCAATCAACGGAGAATATGCAACTCATCATTATCTGCATAAGATAATTGTAACAAAACATGAGGTTCACAAAAGAAGGGACTTATCAGCCTATATGTCCAAATTTTTCTAATCCCTTAGCCATAAACAAGGCAAGCCAATATGTAAATAGATTCATCCTTTCAATACAATCTGGAACAAGAACTTCAGCTAAAATGGATGCAAACCATCAAGCGACTACATCCCAGAGGAAGTGGTTCACAACAAACATGTTCCAGTAGGCAGACTAGACAGGAAAACAAACTAATGTGTTATCTACATCTGGTCATTGTTATTATGTTGGTTTAATATTAGTAGCTTAAGAGTAGTAAGAAGTAAATTTTCAGTTTCCAAATATAGCCATTAGGAACCACTAAGATATGGTCTCCACAGTCATGGCATTATGTAGATGGATGTCACCAATAATGGCATATTTTTTACCTTTATGTATGCTTCTGTACTACGCTTATGTTATATTTATGTAGAGCCCATAAAAGGACTTCAGTGTACCACATAAAAAGTCCTAGCCATTTTTGAGGATGCTACAAATATAAAATATATGAAATGCTGCTGGAATCGCAGTGGTTCTGTCCAGTTTCTTCTTTTTTTTGGTCTTGTTTCTCTCATTCAACATTGTTGAGTGGGTCGGCACCAATCCAACCTTTTCTTAACAATTAATCTATTTAACATGGTATCAGAACAGTGATCTTACACTGCTCAGCTTCTATGCATCGGAATCTAGGGCTTGCAACATTGCTATAGACTGACAATGTCACCTGCTCAAACACCTTTGAAATTTAAATTTGTTGAGGGCTTGGTATCTAATCAAAAGTTCTTTTTAAGGGAAAGAGGGATTTCACCAAGTTCATAGGGTTTTTGAAAAATACCACTTGTTTGAAGCTGGATAATGTCAAACCATAGTGGATCTTCATTTTGAGCATTCCAATAACTTGCTAGAACTTTGATATCAAGGTAGCATCTGGTTTATGTGCTATCTGAATTGTTTATCCCTGCTCTGCTTGCCTAGCAGATGTTTTGGGGTTGTCCAACACCAATAGTTTTTCCCAAACGTTATGTATTTATGACTCAGGCTTCATGAATTTTGGAGTTTTCTTTGTAATGATATTACATTTTTAATGACTGGCATACCTATTTTCTAGGTAACTCTTTCTTGATCTCAACAATTTTTTCAATTATCCTTTTTATTTCAAGGATTGTAACCACTTTTCTCCTTGTATGATTACCAAATTGGATGGAAGAAATAACTTATCTTGGGAACAATGAATGCAAATTGGCTCATTAAGGCGATATGGAATGGATCGTATACATGAGACACTGAAAGCCCCTAGTTCTACAAATCCAAAATTCAGAAAAGAGCTTATGATGCAATAGTATGCAGACGACAGAATGCAACTAATTCCTTGAGGCCTTCTTAGAAGAGGAAATGGCTCCACCTGTTGTGTTTCTTCTGCTCCCAGTGAATACATCAAACCTATCCCACCCAATCTGATCCCATCTCTGCTCTCAACTCATCCCTTTCTCTACCATTTCAACCCCCCCCCCGCCCCCCAACCCTGCGTGAGGGGGGGGGTGGAGGTGGACTACTACCCTGTCTTCTTGATCAATGTCAACTATAAACCTTCTGCTTGCCCAACTACATCTTCCCCTTCCCACTGTGCTCCTGTGAATCCATGGTAACCCCCCTTGGCATATATTCTCAAACAGGGTCCCCATTTCCCAATGCTTCAAGACTCCCTTCTTTGCCTGTGCAATTTAATGACCCCTACACCTCAGCCCCCAAACCTCTGGAAAAGAACGTTGAATCTAATATTGAAGTGCCGCATCTCTACCACAAATGCTTCGAACTCATGAAAACAACATGCAGCTCTAGCCATCCCACTACTCCATCGTCTAAACTGCACAACCCTAATCAATGCTCCACCAACCTCATAACCATCCCCATAACTACCGTCAGACCTTAAAAACCAATTGTGAATCAACATGTAGCCTGCCCATCTCTATTATACGGTTATACCACAACTACAAACACCTCATTGAGCCTTAGAGGGTCTTAAACATCAGCGTAAAAAATGTTGGGCAGAAACCCAAGCCACGACAACCTAACCTCTTAACTTCGAATACCGTAACCAATCTCTTAGTCAGTTGAGGCATCCAGGACAAGGTCTCATCCACATCCAAGGAAATTTCCTTCAGAAGAGAGTAAATTTTATCAAGAACTCTCCGATAGCTGTTTTTGGAGCACCCAAACATGACTGGTGGAAATTTCAGAAATGGGTTGTTTCCATCTGGAACTCAAACACATCACCTGTTATCCTCTGATTAGGGGAGCACATCTACTCTCTTTTCCCTCCAAGGATACCAGGGACTTGAGCATCAGCCAGCAAAGATCTATTCTTCAAAAGAGGCAACCTCTCCTGAAACCTTGGGGTCCAGAATTCCCAGGTCCCCAAAATCGTAGAAAATGAGCCCATGTACAGGTTATCCTTATGAATGCCTGTTACTTGCTACCTGAGATTTTTGTGGAGGCTTCTTGAAACTGTACTAAAAAGACTCCCAAAAGGCAAGTGGAATGAACTAAGTTACCATGACCCGCCTCTTTTTGCATTTTTTGTGTGTTAAAAGAGATGTGGAATGAACTGAGTTACCATAACACGCCTTCATGTGATCATGCAGCTGGTCTTGAAAAGCACATAACAAGAGTCAAGAGTAGAAGAGTGTCAGGCTTATGAGCTGCATGTAGGTCCTGATCAGAATTCAAGTTTGCTGGGAATCAAATCTTAGATCAAGAAAAACTTATTTATTCTTTATGCAACTTAAATTGTTCTTCAAAGTGGAGAAGGGAAGAAAGGTTCTCACCTGACAATTGCAGTTCAGCTCCCTGCTCTGGCAGCAAATAACAAAAAAATCATTTTAGGTGGAATTCACGGAAAAAGCCAAGCTCAAGGGCATCCCAACTAAGAGAAGCACCCAAATCAAGAAAAACTTTATTGCACCTACTGCAAGAAGGATGGCCACCACAAACGCAAGTGTTGGTCTTCACATGGTCAACTTTTCCACTGCTCTTACAGACACTACTCATACTAATCCTACTATTTTGAGATTTTTCAATACCTTGGAGAACATAACAATATATCTTCATCTCCTTCTTAATTAGTAGGTAACTTGCTTACTCTTCTCACTAGCCCAACAATAAACTGGATTACTGATGTTGACCATATGACAAGTAAACTATAGAAACCAAATCATTATCATCATCTATCTTATTCCAAAAATACTTGTCTTGTTGATGGATCAACCACCCTAGCTCTCAAAGTCGGAAATGCAGATTTGTCTGCAGTTTTTTCTTTTTTATCAAATGTTCTCCATGTCCTTTCATTCCCTGCTAATCTTCTCTCTATTAGTCGTTGAAAAGACGTGAAACTTTTCCCTAACCATTTATCCTCCATATTGTGCCATTCGAAATCTGAGAACTAGGAATAAAAATAGATGAAGGCAAGCAGTCAAGTGGAATCTACTAGTTCAATAGAAAACCTACGTTGTTCACAACGACAAGGATGGGAAGAACTGGAGAAGTTATGGCACACACATTAAGGCCACCCACTAAACTTTGTTTTACATTCTTAACAAAAAGTGATCCCCTTTTGGAGGGCTTTTTTAACTTTCCAGAAATTGAGGATTGCTATCTATCCCAAGAGTATTTGAAAGAACTCATGCACAAAGCAAGCGAATGTAACAGAACATGGCATAGCCACTTTGAACATAAAAGGGAATAATTAGGTTTATTGGAATTACCTATGCTCTTTGGATCTTACATTATCACGTAACATGTTTAATAATTTTTCTATTAAAATACATATTAATGGTAGGAACACATTGTCCTTCAAGTGATCCCTTAACTGAGCTCTAAAATCATAGTTTCTAAAAATGATAACTAGAATCACATCAAGCATCACCACATTTTTCAAGGATTAAAAATCATCTGCTCCAACTGATACAAAAGAGGATAAGGTCATTGTTTCCAAAAATGCAGAGATGCTTAAGGTGAAGATCCTACGTTAGAAGTGACAATTTATTCTAGTAAGCCAGCAAGCTGACGATTATTGAAAGAAACTCTTAATTCCGGTTCAGAAAGATTGCCAAGTCCCACGGACAGCACATAGTACATTTCAAGACTGTGTTTGAAAGGTAACGAATGGATGTGGCATTAGCCATTAATTGAACCAAACCAAATGTTCGGCAAATTGATTGGTTCATTTGGTAACTAGCAAGGAAGTTTTAGGGTTGTAGATTTTTGTCCCCATGAAAAAGTATATTTGTTTGTTTGATATATATTTCTTCTACTCCATTTAAATCATCGTCATCGTAACCTTTTCCCAATTAATTAGGGTCGGCTACACGAATCTCAGTCCGTCATTCTGTTCTATTAAAGGCTATACCCTCAGTGAGGCCATAAGTCTCCATATCCTTTCAGACAACTTTCAACCACGTCTTTTTGGGCCTACCCCTTGCCCTTTTCAGTCCTTCCACTTGAACTAACTTGCACCTCCTAACAAGTCTACTCTCTCTCATCTTATCGCAGATTAGTACCACACCTAAATTCTCCTAAATGGATTCATTTCGAATTCTATCCTTTCTTGTCTTGCGACTTATCCATCTCAACATCCTCATCTCCTCTACACTCATTCTATGGGTATATTATTTTTTGTCTGCCCAACATTCCGTCCCGTAGAGCAAAACTGGTCTCACAACTATCCTAAAGTACTTGCCCTTCAGCTTCATTGGTATGCGGCGATCACATAAAATTCCAGTTGTACATCTCCACTTTACCCATCCAGCTCGAATTCTGTGTGTGACAACTTCCTCAATCTCTCCATTTTCTTGGATTATCGACCAAAGATATCGAAAGTGCAGTCTTTTTTGTACTTCCTAACGTCAACATTAACTACTTCCTCGTCTCTATTATTATTACTAAACTTGCATTTCATATACTTTGTCATAGTCCGACTAATTTTAAAACCTTTGGATTCCAGAGCACCCCTCTGAAGTTCTAACTTTGAGTTGACTTTCGGGTCTCATCAATCAAAACGATGTCATCCACGAACAACATGCACCACGGTACCTTATCTTGTAGGTGCCTAGTTAAGTCACCCATATTAACTTTTTTAATCACATGAGCTAAGATAAAACTAAAGCATAAAAAAAAGGACATGTATCCTCAAATTAACGATTATGCATTTGCAAGAAAAATAATAAAGCAACCAAAACAACTGCTAAGTAAAATCAACAAAATTTACAATAAAGCAATGTAAAAAGACAAGGGACAAAAGAATACCGCGTACGAAGTTATTTGTGATATCATCAAGACTCACCCAAGAACATTTGGATTTTCCCTCTTCAGCAACTAGTCGGAAAGGACCCTGATTAAGTGAAAAGAAAATGAGAATACCATTAGACTGTAGTTTTTTAGTGAGTCAATGGGGAGAGAGCCCCTACCCTTGATAGGAATTGAGCCTAGGACGTAGCGTTGCAAATCGTCAAGCACTAACCAATTAAGCCGAGCTCTTTTCCTACCATTAGACTATAGTTACAATGAGTATATTCTCTAGCATATGAGCATATGAGCATACAATAGAGAATATGCTCATGGATTCCTTGCATTAAAGTAATGAAGTGACTTTCAAAATCACAAATGTTCCAGTTATTGGAGAAACAGAGGTAATGAGATAAATTGTTGTGCCAAATTTGTCCTTGACATGGGTTACAAACATCTTGACACTTCTATAAGTAATTAACCAAAAACTATCAGAAATAAGCAATACCGCTTCAAATTGTTTAACAAACCACTGGTTTAGCTCCTTTGAGCAAGCAGAATCTCCCAACAAGTATGAGCGAAAATCACCATAAGTCAAGTAGATACCATCCTCTGCACAACTCAAATTGACAAATTGAGCACTATTAAATGAGGTATTGATTCCCATTCAAGGCACAAATTCCTAAAAGTGAAAGAATGAAGCAGTTCTTAAGAATCCAAGTTATGGAAAGCAAAGTTCCCGATCAACAACTTAGGCCAAAAATAAAATGAAATACAATGGATTAAATCAAATGTTCAAATGAATCCCTACTTAGATAGTATAAACCCAGTTGATGAGATTGCAACACAATCTTGGAACTTCTTAGAATAGGAATCATTGGAGGGTCAATTGATTAGTTATACAGTCATTTATGTTCTTCCAAAGTTCAAGGAACAAAAAAATGAAACTGTACCATCTCCTGAATGGTAGTGAGCCAGCTCCCGTGCAGATGAAGCAATTTTCTCCACAACTGCATTCATCTAATAGCAGGACAACAGAATTGTAGAGCAGACGAATTATTGTGGGATTGAAATAATGCCCTATAAAAATTTAAAGCATCACACATCTCATGGAGATAAATACAACAAATGTGATATTCACAAAAATATAGTATCTGCAGAGAAAGTCTATGGCATTAATATCATCATTACCAACAATTTTCTTTCCCTTTTTTTTTTTTAATGTTGACAACAATAATTTACTCTCTTACTGGTTGAAAATATATATCAAGAACCGTTACGTATCAAAATAAAATAATATAATATAAAGAAGCAAGGTAGATTAGGAATTTCAGATTATCAGTCATTGCATATCCTCATCTTCACAAAAGTAAGCCATTATACACTTACGTCCCAGCTTCATAAGCCATACGAACAAAATCTTCAACGTTACCAGTTTCTCTCTTAAGCTTTTGCGATTCTCATACATCATTATACATGCATTTGAAATCATCAAAGTTTCCAATTTCTTCCTGATTTTTTTTAAAAGCAATTTCTCCCTTCCTACATTCAGGATGTGAATACATCTTTGAAGAACTATTTCCACACACTTTTCTAAATCCTTGTGTAAATTAGATATTGCACTAATAAAGTAGCATGTTTGCAAGGTGTTACAGATTAAAAAAAACTACAGCTTGCAATTTCAGGTCACTCCTGATTTCAACAGAATAAATAAGCACAACCATGCCAGCCCAAAACCAAAGCATGTGAAGCCAGCAGAAAAAGAAAATATAACACATAAGGTAATAACTTCAAGGTTAAGGAAAACGTTTATATAAGTGTGAGGCTCTAAACAATCAAATTAGGGCGCACCTAAAAAATTTAACTAGAAGAGGTTGTTTTGATGCCCAAATATCATCAAATTGATCATCTCGACCTCAAGATGCATGGACATGAGAAAAAGATAGATTTCAAGTTTTGGAAATAGTGCACCTTGTAACGCATTTTTGGACCGTCAATTTTCAAGATTTCAAGTTTTCATAGATCTGCTCAATCTATATTATTTTTTAAGCTTTAAATTGTATAATTAGAGATGAAAATATATTTTAAGGCTATCACAAAGATTTCCAGTATTGAAATCACATTTCTCGACACTATTTGAAGGTGCACTTTACTTTGATTGTTTAGAGCCTCGGCCTTATACAAACCGCCCCCCAAGGTTAAAAAGTGATTCTCCTTGCAATGAATCCAATAGATGAATAACGCAGTGCACCTTTAGTAAGGACAACCAAAAGTAGAGACAAGAATCAGATCACATGTAACCCAAAGAACAAGAATCAGATCACATGTAACCCAAAGAACAAGACCCAATATCTTTTTAGTGTCCACCAATTGACTCAAAAGAGAAAGCACCACCAAACTTGGTAAGCAACTACATCTAGTAAGATACTTCTAGAGCAAAGGTTATCATAGAGAAGCATCTCATCTATCATTCTCAAATGTAGTACGGCTGTTCCAAGAAGCAAAACCTTTTTTTTGTCTTTTTACTATCCAAAAAGCAAGACCTTCAATAGAAATTTCAGGTAGCAACCAACTAGGCAAATTGGGTGATTTTTGTCAAAGAATAAATTTTGAACTATTGAAGGCATGAATAGGAGTCCCACTTGGTAGGAGGGTCTTCTACCCAACAAAGCCCAAAAATACTGCAATATGCAGTTGGGCTGATGGGCATCACGTGCGAATCTAGGCAATAGAAGACAATGTTTCCTATGAGGATTAAGGTCTTGAGTGGAAGGTTTCCATTATTCAAGCTCCGAAAAGAGAAGGTGGCTGGAATAACTTTCAAGAAGAATCTATTGACATGGTGGCATCCAGGCATGGAAGTGCCAGCCAGGATTACAATGATGTGGACCTCAGCTAAAAGCTCCATTGTTGGGTATCATCGACATTAGAGACCATTTGCTCTATGTATGGGAAGGTTCTGGATGTCAAAGTGATAGTAAGGAAAGACATGTCTGAGGCAAAATTGAACAATGGGCAACCAACAGCGCAAGCACACAAATGGAATATAGTACCCTTGACCGTTTCGGAGTATTACTACAGGGCATCACAGGAAGACAAAATCCAACAAATAAGATTAAAGGAATTTATGGCCATGAGTTGATGTAAGTTATTCAATGGTATATTCAGTTGTTGTAGACTTGTAGTCGGATATCGAGGGACATTCTGAACTTAGTATCATTGAAGAACCTAGTTGTTTAAGCTTTGGACCAAATAGTGGAACAGAAAGATATGATGCTAGAGAAAAGGAATCTAGGATGAACCTAAACAAGATAGTAGGAGACAATAAGCAACAGTCCAGGGAGTGAACCAGGTAATTATAAAAGAAAAGGAAAGTGCAGCTTCCCTTTCATGACCTGAATCCTTGGGACATTCATATATAAGGTGCCGATCCATGTGATTCCGATCCAAACTGTAGAAAGGTTGACACCAACATCTGCAAACAAGTGAATCGGGAGCCACAATGTGTTGAACTCGGGCTATAAATTGTGTTAAGTAGATTTTTAGTGCTTGAAACTCTCACCATATGCATTGAATAAAATGTAGCAAACAATGACATTGTTTTAATTTTAAAAGCAGGAGAAACATACATGTATTTTGTAGGTTGATGAAGAAAACAGAATCAGATAGAGTGACTGAATTTTTGCAAGTGAGATGGTACCTCCAGATTCCTAGCAGAAAGTTTCTCATCGACCAAAAGAAGTTCACCATTTATAGTGGATGTTGTTGCAACTCGTGCTCTTCTCCCTTGTATCAAACCTGTAGCTTGGATGGTAAGTAAATCAAGCTGAGATTGCAAACGCCTAAGCTGTTTTTGCAGTTCCAGAGCTTCCTCTTTATATGCCAAGGTGGCATCCCTGGATGAATACAAGACATCATTTGTTAAATAGATATAGAACCCTTTTTGTTGGTAAGATTTTCAGATCAATAATAACACATCTACCAAAGGAAGAGCACTTCATCAGTACCATAAGCTAATTTAGGTGTAACCACTGGAGGTTTCTAGTGCATTATACTAAATACTAAGAAAAAAAGTTCGACCAGTTTTAAGGAGGCCAAATAATTGGCAAATACACAGCCTAAAATGGGTGTTTATACTTTACCAAGGAGTATAGCAAGTTAAAACCAGTGTTATGAGGAGTCTGATCCAATCAAAATCTGTCCCATCCAGTCCTCATAACTATGACTTAAACTATTACGATATGTTACTAAAGGTCTATTAGAACTACATAAATTAAACTTATCCATTTTATGTTAATAATGCCCACTTATCAAACCAGAAAAAAAAAATAAGTCAATAAATCAAATATATATGTCCAACATATCAAAGGACACTCCAACAATAATAGATGTGCGTGTGCATACATATGTGCACACACATGCACGTGCGCGGACACAGACACATATACATAATAATGTATTTGAAATGAATGTTTTGTATGTTGATCCAAATAAAATAGAAGTAAACCAGGAAGTAGCAAACACATAAAACTAACGCTGCTCCTTGGTAAAGATCTGCTAACATAGACCTATCTCTGACAATTCCAAAGGGCACATGCTAGAAGTAGATTCGAGCATTTAACTTTCAAATATATATTCACCAGAGCTTAAAAGACTTGAAACTTTATTGAAATTTATAAACAACTAGCTCTTTTTTCAGTAAAGTATCATATACAGACATTTGGACTTCCTTCAGTGTATTAGCATCTCCTTAATATGCTGATATTAAAATGATGGACTTTAAATTGAGGAACAACACACCCCAAAAGTACCTTGCTGACATCCATAGGTTGGGGTGGTGCAAGAAAAACGGTAAAAACATAATATACAATCCCTTTTTTTTTATAATTTCAGAAACATTCTCTCCTTCTTTTTTTGACTAAGTAGTGAAATAAACAGCTAACTTCCACACAAAACAAGGTAAACTGTCACGAAGCAATGCATTCAAAAGCCATTTGATTAAGTCTAAAAAACCTTTCATCATGCCAAAAATCGACACAGATCAAAGAGAAATTGTGGAAACAGTGTTTACCTAATTTCTTTTATTCCTTCTTCAGCACCTAAAACTGCCTCTTGATTGTTCCTTCGACTTGAAAAGGCTGAAATACTATCGTAGGCAAAGTCCAAATCATCTCCCTGAAGAATTAAAGTCACTAAACCATTAGGGATATTCAACGAGGATCCAAATCAGGCATATAATTGTCAAGACAATAGTACAAATTGTTCTGCATCTGTCCCATTCCAACAACTTCCAAATTTCAATTCATAACAATTATAAAGTATCTCCATTTCAATGAACCCCATAAAGAAATAAAATAAACCACTTAAACTCATTTTCAGAAGCAACACTGATGCCTATATATCCCTCCTTACACCATGATTATCAAGACGACAGTTATTGATTTAGCCAAAATTGAAAAAAAATGCCAGGCTGCGCCGAGGCAGTGTTTGTAGGGTTTTTTTTTTTTTTGGGGGGGGCGAGGGTCATGGGGAGGGGAAAGTCTAGGCGCCTAGACACTAGGCAAGCGCTCTCAAGGAGCCCTGGAGACAATATAAGCATATATGTGCACTTCAAACGTACATATATGCATATAATTGTTTCATTTATGTATATTTAAGCATTTATATTTATTGAGTAGGATTTCTGTTTGCCACCTGACACACCTATTCATGACATTCCCCTCTGAAATCCATCTTAAATATAATTCTAGATCCAAATTTTCAGGGATCATAATATAGACATAATGAAGAAAAAAGAAAAAAACAAATTTTAAAATTTAAAAGTGTTTTTCTGTTTTTTGCATCATTTACTTTTAAATTTTGGTCAGATCCCCTTTTTCTAACATCCACCTTAAAGATCAACATTTAATGGACAGGGAGAGCAAGCATCCCGTGACTCACATGATACTTTTAAATATTTATTTTAACTATGCATATGTGTGTCTCTGTGCGTATGATGTATATATATGCGCCTGAATGCACACATTGATATCATTGACCAAATTTCATAATTGTAATAAACCAGTATTCACTTAGTAATCTAAGGTTAAATTAACAAAGGAGAAAAGTTTAAAAAATATAACATTGATAGTTATATATTTAAGTTAATAACTCTCAAAAAAATATATATATATCCAAGATATAACATCAATAATTATATATTCATAAACTAAAAAAAAAATTACTCAAATATTTAATAGCTGAAATGAAATACAAGTCTACAACCTCGAGTCCATAATATATGGACATGAATCTCCACACACATTCTAAAGTTCCAATTTTCAAACCACGACACACAGTGAAAGTCATAAAAGGAAATTGATAAAAGAGAAATTCAAAATAAAATGATAAAAGAGAAATTCAAAAGAATTTTAAAAAAAAAAAGCGAGGTTTATAGTGATTTCTCAAACTTCGCAAAAAAATTTAATCTCAAAAAAGGGGAAAAAAAAAATTCTTGAATCTAAGGGCTTTTTTTTTGTGGTGGGGAGGGGGGCACAAAACTAGTCACAAACCAACTTTAGTAAACTTGGTCCCCTAGGTGGGGGCGGGCTGGGCCGGTCGCCTCGGTGCTTGGCAGGCCATTTTTTTTGAAAATTGGTTTAGTATAATATTAAACGAACCCATGAGAAACTTGAACAATTTTCAGATTACATAACTTATGGTCATAAAAGTGGACATCTCATGAAGTTTGAAAAGAACTATCGTGAATATCTTATCAAGCTACCATTTACCAAAAAAATAATAGATCTTAAACTAACTCCAAATTTTATGGCGGTTCATAAAGGAATTCATGCTCACATCTTGGACAGACACAGCTTATATTTTCCTATCCAATTGAGCATGAAAAGATAAAGGAACATCTACTTCAATCAAATTCAACATGACTATAGATATAATATGATGTAATAAATCCACTGTAGTGAATGCATTGTCTTGGATTGACATTTAGTCTAGGAAAAGCACAAGGATCATAGTCCTTTTCTTGGGTCTGAGGTGTGATTCTGCACACATTTTGTGTGTCAACAAGCGTGTGAGGATATGGGTTAAAGAACTGGGCTTCAAGATTTATGTCCACGATCACCCTTAAAAATACACACAATAATCAACCACTATTCGTACCCTACATTTCTATCCTATGTTGGAATACTTGTCTATGAGAATATAAAATATCAATCTAGGAGCATAACACCAATGTAAAAATTAGTTAGGTATTCGTATAATTCACCTCAAAGTTGGTAAGGCAACCACGACTACGCACATAAAATCTAATAGACATAGCAACGAGCTTTAGTTAATATAATATAAGGAAATTGCCAATGTTTTATTAGCAGGAATAAATGATTAACACAATGAAGTATTTGCAGGAATAAATGATTAACAAAATTAAGTTTTTCAACATGTTCTGCCCTAGAAGAAGAGAATAACAGGGTAGGTTTCCAGTAATACCTCCAACAATTTTCCTTCCTGTACAAATTGTTCATACCTGCCAAAAGAAATTTGCAATAATTAAGACCAAGCAATATCAACGCAAATGTCATAAGGCAATAATGAAAAAGTCAAGAAATGAATTGGAAATTAGATGACCATACAGTAGAAAAAATCATGCAAATGAAACATTTGATTTTCCTTCTTTTTTGTATTTATGTAGCATAAAATGAGGGGAAAAAATCTTAAGGATTTAAAGCTTAGATAAAATAATTGACAGCATCAGTTGCCGTATAACAGAATATTAATCCCAATTATTCATGGCCATTCCTGTTGCCCTAGCTCTAGGCATGCTTGGCATTGCAAAAGATCCCTATTTGAATTAGGCAAGTCAACCATATCCTATGGTTCCATCTAGTAAGGAGATATCAGAAAGGAGATGGAATGACAAATTACGGAAATGGCACGCAAATTACATAGTACCAATTGAAAGCAGTAAATTGCAACGATTTGGAGCAAAGAGTACGCTCGAGGGACAGACATTCAAAAAGCGGGAGAGGATGAGAGTGAGAGAGAGAATACTAGAATTCTCATTTCCGACTAGGAAAATCAAACGATAGACTGCAGGATCAATGCAGAGAGAGAGAGAGAGAGAGAGAGATTTAGGATAACCGTCTACTAATCCTACGAATCCAATCTCACAAATTGAGCAAATGAAGAGTGAGATCAGACATCCAAGCGTCAAATATTTGGGTAAATATGCATACATAGAGAGGGAGAGACTTACTGTGCAACTTCAGCAGGTGAGAGGACATTAGAGGGGCGAAGATTGGAGCAGATCCAGTCAAGCAAAGGACGCACCTCCTCATACTGAAATGGCCATTCAAAGCTATCCGGATCGAGCTTCTTGTAATCCTCAAAACCTAACTCTTCCAATACACTGCAAAGCTTCGCCCCACTCATCTCCTCTGCGATAATTATTCTCAAAGGCTTCTTCCTTTGCAGGGTCAAAATAACCTCAATCAAACTTTTCTCTGAGCATCGTCCATGATAAGAGACTAAATTAGGGTTTCTAAGAGTTCAAAATGCAGCTTGAGAAGCCTGAAAAATAGCAAAAACTGAAACAGAGGTTTGATTTTATGAGTTGGGTGCCGGCTGTTTCTTTTTCTATATTTTCTTTTGTGTTGTGGGCGTTTGAAATGCACGGGCTTTTAAGCAAAAGGAAATGAAAACAAAGTTTTGCCGCCCTCGTACACTGGCTTGCGCCCGCACAATACGATCCATATGGCCGTAATAAGAATATCGTGTTATCACTGTCCATTCTTAGTTTCAACGGCGGTGAGGTAGTGGGACCCGCTCCTGTGCCTCTCAGTTAATTGAACGGTCATAAGTTTAGGCCACAGTTTTTACGGCCTAAATGGATCACAATATATTTTATGAGGAAATTTATCCAAGGAAAAAGTTTATACATAACAAAGGCTCTAAACAATTAAATTAGCGCCCACCTCAAAAATTTCACATGGCTTATTTGTTTTTATGAAAGTATTTTTTCAAATTTTGAAAAAGTTCTAAGATTGTTTCACACTTTTTATGAAAAGTTCAGAAACTAATCTTTCAACAAAAGTTCCCGTTATTTTATTAAAAAACGAAAAATTCAGTTCCTAAGAGGATTAGGAACTTAATCTTTCATCACTTTTTTATTGATCATTATTCGCTATGTATAATATAAATGAGTAATGATCCGACGATACCCTCTCACACCTATGTGTGTAGGACCTCAAATGATCGTCATTAAATTTGGCATAGATCTCTAGAAAAGTTATCATGTGGGTGTGGGACTTGATTTTTCTAGAGATCTGTATCAAATTTAATGGTGATCCTTTGGGGTCATGCACACATAGGTGTGGGAGGATATAATATTAATATTATCAATATGATATAATATTACTGTAATATTATATTATATATTTATTTTATGGGTTTTGTTAGGCTCCACTATTAGGTGGTGTAGACCTTTAAAGTACTCAATATTTTTTGACACTAAAATACCATTGAATTGTAATACAAAATTTTTCAAGTAAGGGCATTTTTATCATTTAAAAAGGTAAAATTAATATTTTTATAAAAACATAATGGCATTCTATTAGTAGTTAAAAACATATAATGCATCTTGTGGGACATGATGTCACACACCGTATCGGATTGTCCACTATGATTAATAAATAGTATTGTTTCTATTAGAAATTTATAGTTTACCTTTGAGTAATTACTTAAAATACCCTTAAACAAAAAGTTATTATACTGCACGATAATGGTATCTAAATGTCTAAAAATGTTGAGCACTTTAAGAGTATACACCACAAGTGGTGTAGCCTAACAAAAAATTTATTTTATTAATATAATTTATATTAGAATAATGATCCTATGAGACCCTCCCACATGTAGGACTCCAAATGATCACTATTAAATTTGGCATAGATCTTTACAAAAGTGATCACATAGGTGTGGGACTTGACTTTTCTAAAGATATGTGTCAAATTTAATGGCAATTCTTCAAAGTCCTACATACATGGGTGTTGGAGGGTCTCATAGGATCATTACTCTTTATATTATGTAGTATATTGATTATATATTATAAGTAATATATAATATTACTATATATTTCTAATATATTATGCAGTATATATAATATATGTTTATTATATTGTATATAATATATAAATACTATATATTTTTATATTTATAATATTATATAATATATATTTAATATTTTCTAATACATTATATAATATATATATTTATTTTATTATATAAAATATATGTAATATATAAATACTATATATTTTTATTATATTAAATATATATATTAATATTTAATATCATATATTATAGTATAATAAATAAT